GTTCACTTTGTTGAACTGTGCTTAAGATGATTACCAAGTCAGATGTTTCCAGCTAATACATTTTTTGAAAAGTCTACTAGCTTCTATTATAGTTCATATATACAAATTTATAAACACTATTGACAAGTAAGAGCTTAAAAAAACATATTACATAAACAATGCAACAGACAAATTTTATTTCTTCGACATGCGTACAAAAAAATTTATTGTAATGTTTTTGTATTTTTTTATTCTAAAAAAATAGTTTCAAGATTTTTTTAAATTTTTATAATTTTTTAAAAAAAGTATTTTTGTTTTGTTAGAGAAGTCTTGGCCCCGCAGCGACTATCTGTTTTTGCAGTACTATTTTCCACAGTACACGACTTTACTGCTGGATATATGTAAAGTCGTGTACTGTGGAAAATAGTACTGCAAAAACCTACCATAAATATTTTTGCTCAAATTTCAATTTCACTGCAGAAATTATACTTTAATTTTTTGAATAGTTTAATAGTTAATCTTTACTATAATGTAGAGAATTCAGTTAATTTTAAGTAAAAAGATAATTTTTGAATTCCTACTGTTTCATATTTTTGTAAATGTTCAATTGGAATTTATTTGCTTCATCAATTTAAAAGTTATTATCTATAAAACGTTTTATGAATAAGTATAAAATGTTATACATTTTTGAAATTATTTTGTTATGGAGATTTTTGAAAGCATCATTTATAGAGAAAGCATCATGTTATGGAGAAAGTAATTAATTGAACTATAAAATGAGATAAAAATAAAAAATCTTTAAGTCAGGTGCGGGTACAAGTGGTTTCCAAAATTATAGATAAAAAAGTGTTAAAAACCAGAAAACAAAAAAACCCTTTTTATCGTGGTTTTAGACTATATCTGTTTAAAACAGTAAGTTATTATATCAATTTTTTATGGAGAATTAATTTTGATGGACATGGATTCAATTATTGGTATTATTATTCAAAAAAAAAGTTCATGTTTCACTCGTATTTTTTTACAAAATTTGTTAATTATTGTCTATAATTAACAAACTTTGTAAAAAAAATACGAGTGAAACATGAACTTTTTTTTTAACAATGATAGATAGAAAAGTGATTCAGTTATTAACGGATACGCCTTCTGTGTCTACATGTACAATATGTGGAACTACTTCATGACAAATAAACAATATGACTGATGTGTCCGAAAATGAAAGTTCGTATCAATATGGACTGTCCGCATTACATACCTGGATTCGGTGTATGGAAATGATATTACATTTTTCCTACAACCTGTCTTTTCAAACATGGTCAGCTGAATGTAAAGAAAAAAAAAATGACAAAAGAACAAAATGAAGACCTTGGTACAGAAACGTTTTCGTGAGCAGCAAGGGTTAATCGTCGACAAACCGAAACAATTAAGTAATACCAATGTTGGTAATACTGCTAGGAGATATTTTTTACAAAGCAAGCTGCTTTTTTGAAATCACTGGAGTAAATGAAAATTTGAATAAGTGACTTTACATAATTCTACAAGCTCTCTCCTCAGGTGTTATGATAAATGCTTAAAGTTTTAGTGCATATGCTACAGAAACTGCCCACATTTATGCGAGTAATTATAGCTGGTACTTTATGCCGTCTTCAGTACACTATTACTTCACTAAGTAAAAATTATAAAGCATTTTGCGGTACTACCTATTGGTCAACTTTCAGAAGATGCGCAAGAATCCCGTAATAAAATTATAAAAAATTTCGCCTACATTATGTCAGGAAATGTTCTAGATTAGCTACAAATAAGGACGTATTTCATACTCTTCTGTACACTTTCGATCCCTACATCACCAGCATTAGAAAACCGTACAGCAAAAATGTCCATGAACTTGATGAAGATACTTAGCAGCTTTTGAAAATCGACCTAAATTTTATTTGATAAAAACTCACTGTATAAAAATTGTTATTAATAAACTATCCTGAATATTATAAACTTTTGAAAATATTCATGTAAAAGTTGAATATATGCAAATTAATTAATTATATGCAACAATTAAAAAACCAAGTTATTAAAGAAATTAAGACTAATATAGGGAAAGTTAAAAAGTTTAAAAAGTACGTGTTTGTTTTTTTGTCTAAAGTTTTGTATAAATGTTTTTTATATATAAATAAATTTAATATGAATATATTTCTATGTATTTTTTTTGCTGTTTCGAATACTTCCAAAGTTTTAGTTAAAATAAAAATAAGAAATCATAAATTTGAATTTTTTGATTTGTATTTACAAATTGTATATTAAATTTTTTTTTTTTAATATATTTTCTTAGAAGCATCATATACCACAAGGTCGTAGACAACTTTTTTGAAGTTTGAGCTAAGTATAACATAAAGTAAACTTCTCAAATTGAGGGGGCTGTAAACTTTATAAGGTCATAGAAGCCGATCAACAAGAGATTGTTGAATCAAATGTCGATGAATATAAATTAAGTTTAAGATTAAAAAAAATAACAAGTTTCCCTCATTTTGGGGCTGGGAGGGGGGCTAACGTTTTGGGGTTTTTGTTGTTCCTAGTCTCCAATCACCGCAATTTTTTGCATAGCAACCTCATTCCTCATATTCATGAACATACTTAAATATGGAGTTTTCTTCATGTTCCAAAGTTGCAAGCTCAAATATAAAAAGTTGTCTACGGCTTTGTACTACTCTACATTTGTGCAAAAATTCAACACTTAATCGTACGTAACAAAAAAGCTATTGATTTTTTATCCAAAACAGACCTTTATTTTCTACAGTGTGGTGCTGGAATACTTGAAAAGTGTGTTTTTAATGAAGTTCTAAAAACCAAGAAAAGACCACACAATATTCTGTGGTGTTCCGTAAAGTTCCGATTTGTTTATGATTTACGTAAATGACTTATATAAGGTTTCAAATTTATTAATAATTATGCTTACAAATATTACCAAGTTACAGGTCCACCGAGAGCTGTAACGCCGCCTGGGACAGCAATCCTGATTGGCGTCCTTATTTATCAAATTTTCCTATATTATATATGAAGGACCTCTTTTTTTTTTTTTTTTAGACAACTAAATTTCATTTGGCGCCCCTTAGATATCTGCCGCCCGGGACAAACTGTCACGGTGGCCCCTCCCTCTCTTTTTATACTGTATATATTACAAACATTTTTATTTACACAGTTTTAAGCTTACACAGTTTTAAGCTTACAATTTATAGTTAAAAAGAACTGGTAAATGTTATTTACCAGTTCTTTTTAACTATAAATGTCAAAAAGTATCCAATTGGTTCAAATTCAAAAAGCTATCTTTAAATAAAGACAAAAAAACAATGATTTTTTTTTGTTTACTTGCCGAAAGCCGTTCAAAATTGAAAATGGTTGAGTGTATTGATAAAGTTAAAAAAGAAAGTGATTTTGTGACGAAGTGTTTTTTTGTACCAAAGTTTCTAAAATTTAATATTAGATTTTAATATAAAGCCAGAATTTATTAAAGTAAAATAACAATTAATGCAGCTCTACTCCTTATTTATCCACAATTATATATATATAGATATGGACAAATATAATAAGAATAACTTTTGTAAATTATTAACACTTAATAAAAACTTGTACAACATTTTTATATTAAAAAAGTTTTATTAATAAAAATATATTAATAAAAACTACAAAACAACAAAAAAAACTTTCAGTTTCCACTCGGCTTCTTGTTTTGATATAAAGCATTTTAAATTTCAAGCGTGGGTAATTTAATTTGCAAAGCATGGCAATTTGCGGGTATGATTTTTGAACCGCGTTGTAATATTATCTTTGTTATTTGATTAAATTTTCTTAAAATAAATTTCAAATAAATTTTAATTCTTAAAATAAATTTTATTTGGTTGGAGATTGCGTTGTAAAAAAATTTAAATGTTCAATTTAAAATCAATATTGTTTTAGTTTAATTGAATAAAAATTTTCTTGGTTTCGATAATTGGCAATGAGTTATGTTTTTTATTTTATTTTTATAAATACCTTGATTTAAATTGTTAACAATCCTAAATTTCCAAACTTGTAAGCTTAAAACTGTGTAAATAAAAATGTTTGTAATATATACAGTATGAAAAGAATCTGATATGTTTATATATATATAAATATATATATATATATATATATATATTATATATATATATATATATATATAAACATATCATATGTAAATATATATATATATATATATATATATATATATATATATATATATATATATATATATATATATATATATATATTTACATATGATATGTTTATATATATATATATATATATATATATATATATATATTTACATATGATATGTTTATATATATATATATATATATATATATATATATATATATATATATATATATATATATATATATATTATATATATATAATATTTATACAAATAAAATCGTAAAAAAAACAGATTAAAATTACCACAGTCTTCATTTTACAAAATGCCTGCTAGACATTTAAATTAGAGATGTTTCTGGATAAGCAGAGCTTTGGTAAGCAATTTTTATTGCAAAACTTTATTAGTTGATTGGTGAAGAAATATAATTATACAAGTAAACTGCAAAGTCTGTTGGGTTAAAGAGAAGGCTTACAATTTCAAAAAGGAAAGTTACTTCAGGCTTGACATATTAAAAAAGACTTGTAAAATCATATTCTGTTTAATACTAGATCTACAGTCTTCAAAAAAATCTAATATTAGACAATACATTCTTGTATAAAAACATCAAATGAGTTTTTTACTGGAAAGCAAAAAAAAAAGGCTTTATCAGTGAAAGATTTTGCTCAAAGTGTTGAATTAAACATAAAGCTGGGAAATGTGAACACTAAACTGTAATAATGGAGGGATAATTTAAAACTAAGGCAGAAAATAAACTAAGGTATAGATCAAACCCCTTTAAATCAAGTGCACCTCTGCCAAGCGTGTGTGTGTTTGTTTAGTATACATCATTTTAAATTATATTTTTAATTCAGTTAATTCAGTTTATAGTTCTTATAAATTTTATTGTTATTATAGCTTATTAACATAGATAAAATGTTTGCAGCCTTAAAAGCAGGAGCTGCTATTTCAAAACTGCCACAATCAGTAGAGAAGCCTGTATATGAAAAAAACGAAATTAATAATAACACAGGAAATAGAAGAGGACCACAAGTTAAAGTGTTTAATATTCCAGAAGGATCTGATTCAGTAAGTTTTTCAATTGGTTAAAAGTTTTTGTAATTTATTACAATTAATAATGATAGTTTTTTTTTTTTATTCTGATTTATAATAGTTTTAATTTTCACTCAAAGTTTTATTAAAATCAAATAGTAAAAACTTAAAGACATCATTTTTTTTTAAGGCATTAGTTTTCTAAAGCAAAATAAATAATGCCATGGCAGGAAGCATCAACAAACTATTGAATATAATTTTTTTTTTATTCTATTTGTACAACAAATAAAATAAAAAAAAATTTAAGTCTTTAAAATATTTGTTGCAATCTACAGACTATAAATTTTCAAGGGTTGAATTACGTGATCGCGATTTGTGATATCTGGAAAATATCTGATCTTCAAAATCAAAGTTTATGCAAAATCGTGTACTTTGTTTTCTAATGGGCTAATTAACTTAATTTTGTGAAAAAGTTGTAAAATAAAACAATAAACTTATGACTACCAAAGTAATAGCACTTTAGTCACTAATTGAATTATAAAAGTAATAAAACTATACTATAGTGTACTATAGTGTTATTAATTTTATAACGCACTTATAACTTTTATGTTTCATTCTTTGTTCAAACAACATAAGTAATCCTAAATTTTAACTGAAGTAGAAAAGCATCTAGAAAAAATAGAGTGGATATTCAAATAATACTAAAAACTTTAGGAACTTAAACTAGTATGTACTTAATAAGAAGTTAATAATTTCAAAAAGTGTTTCTAATGTTCTGTAATGAGTGTAAATTTTAAAATCAACCAATTAAGTTTTTTTATAGACACATTTGTTTAAGTTACTAAGGTTTTTAATATTATTTGAATATCCACTCAATATCTAGATGCTTTTTTACTTAAGTTAAAATTTGGGATTACTTTGTTGTTTGAACAAACAATAAATTATAAAAGTTATAAGTGTGTTATAAAAGTAACAACACTATTATAGTATTATTACTTTTATAATGCAGTTAGTGACTAGAGTGTTATTATTTTTGTAGTCATAAGTTTATTGTTTTGTTTTGTTAACAATTTTAAGCTAATTTTAAACCCCATAAAAACAAAGTTTTTAAACAAAATTTATAATTGGTTAGACATAACATTTACATATGTTTAAATGTAACTTCCATGTCCAGTTTCCGAAATGTCTGATTCTGGAAAATATTTTATTTTCTTAAAAAAAAAAATAATAAAGAAAAAAGCTGTTAAATAATCATATATTGTAAAGTTGTTAATCATAAAAATTGAATAAAATAAAATAAGAAATTAATTTACTTTTTCTTAAATTAGTCTAGCAACCCATCTGAAGCTTGAAATTTTTCAAAGTCTCGCAAAATATAAAGTTTTTTCTTTTTCCAGCAAACCATTAATTGGGACACTATTAACTCTCATTCATTTGAACCATTTAAGTACAGCTTTGTTTACTTGGTAATACCAGGCTTGGTCGGGAAGCGGGAGCGATCGCTTTCGAATACTGACCACGGAAATTATATTTAGTTGCGTAAAACTGGCCAGGTTTTTTAGTCGTTTTAAGAACATTTAAGTTTATGTACGAAACAAAGAATTTTTGTTTTACGGACATACATGGAAACATAATAAACTAGAATGTTCTCAAATTATCTTCGTGCGAAAGAATAAAAAGAATAGTTGCGAACACTAAAAACCCGCCAAATTAACAAACAAACTAATTCTATTGGTTCAAAAAATACGCCGATTAAGCAAAATGAAGTTCTTGAGTATTCTGTTAAAATGTTTCAGAAATTGTATTATTCACGCTTTGAGATTTCTAGTATTTAAGAATATATATTATTTGTTTATGAAAATAAATGCTTTAAATATATATTAATTAAATTGTTAAAATTTTAAAAGTTTATTATAAATCATAGATTTTATTAGTATATTCTTATTTTTTATTTTAAAAGAGATTGTATTCTTTATGTAAACGTAATTGTGTGTATTTGTTTTTTATTGTAATGTATCTTTTAAAGCAATTTTTATGATTTAAACAAAGACTTGCAAAAATAATTGCGTTTTCAATGAAGTTATAATCGTTAAAGTTAATAAAACTAATTATTAGGGTGGTCCATAAAACAACTTTTTTGAGAAAAACCTGCTGACACCCCCTAAATGTGTTTTATCTAATGCAAAAACACTAGGTTTAAAATTTTTTTGAACAAAAATTATTTTTAGGGGTAGCTCAAGGCCCTCAAAAATTTGACGGGTCCCTAATATTTTGAAAAAAAAACTTTTTCTAAAGTATGTCAACCTAGTACTCAAAATAAGCAAAATTATATAAAAAATTTAAAAATGATAATAATTTTTTATAAAAATAATTTTTTTAGGTATAAATGCATAAAAACTATTGTTTTTAAGCTGAAAATAAAAAAAGTCAATATTTTCAGGTTTTTTGAGAATAATTTTTTTTAGGCATGTTTTTTATGTAAAATGATTATTATTTTTGAAGTTTTTATACAATATCGCTTCTTTTGAGTACCAGGTTGACATACTTTAGAAAAAGTTTTTTTTTCAAAATATTAGGGACCCGTCAAATTTTTGAGGGCCTTGAGCTACCCCTAAAAATAATTTTTGTTCAAAAAAATTTTAAACCTAGTGTTTTTGCATTAGATAAAACACATTTAGGGGGTGTCAGCAGGTTTTTCTCAAAAAAGTTGTTTTATGGACCACCCTACTAATTATGTAACAAACATATAAGAAGTTTCTGGTTACTTAACACAAACAACGCATACAAAGTAACTCGCGGATGAACAAGCATTGCGCTTGAAGTCACGACAGAACACAAATATATAATAGCAAATAATTAGATATAAAGAAAAGTTTCTAGATATTGGTTTACTAACTCTAATTATTTTCGCTTAAGTTGCCATTCTTAAAACTCGTTATACTTTTTTCTGCTTTAAATACTAATTAAAATTAAAAACCCACTCACTAAACATCATCAGCGATATTGTAAAGCAGTTTCGCTTCCTGGTCATTACGTATTTTTAACCTTTTTAGTTGATTTCTATCTTGATAATTTAATTCCTATAGTAATTCAATGATTTAATTATTTCATTTGTTTATCTTACTAAGAAGAATCGCTTCAAATATGTTAAACTTTTCAAACTACGTGAAACATAAAATAGGTATTAAAAAAATTAACTTTTTTATTTATAAAATAAATTAAGCTTAAGTAAAACTAAAACTTGCAAAAAGTTAAATAAAGAATATTTGTTTCCCTTTTAAACAATCGTAAGTTGTTACTTTATATAAAAAACATTGCTTAATTTTATAAAAAAAATTTATAAAAAAGCGATGTTTCGTAAAGATTTGTTCTAAATGTAATTTATTTAGCTTAAAGTTTTTTCGCGTTTAAAGATATTTTATTTGCCTACTTTTTTTTTTTTTGTAATTGTCTCTCATCGGTCCAATTAATCTTAGTCGCTTTTTTTTTTTGCTTTTTAAAATGTTCTCAAAACGACTAAAAAATCTGGCCAGCTTTTCGCAACTAAATATTATTTACGTGGTCAGCAATCGAGAGGGATCGCTCCCGCTTCCCGACCAAGCCTATAATACGTTTCAACTTTCACCCGTTCAGCCAAATTTGACAAAAAGCGTCAAAGATTTTATCTTTATTCTTTTTCCAGGTTGAAAGAGTATTTGGAGGAACATCAAAAAAATTTTAAAACTTTGTTTTTTTTTCTCCAATTCTTTTTGATACCATGATTTTTTTAAACAGAAGTAAATAATTTACACTAAATGTTTTTCAAAATTTTTGAAAAAACTTTAAATAAAAAAATTTAAAGAAAAAAGCCTAAAACTTTTTAAAGAATTTTTTTTTAATATGTGAATTTCTTTAAAAGGACTACCAAGTCCCGAGGCATATTGTGTTCATATTAAAGAGAATGTTAAAAAAAAAAACGTTTGAGCAAACTTTTTTTGATTAAAACTAATTAATAAATGTATACCAAAAAAAACAAATCTTATTGTTTTAGTCGAAGCCCGTCTTCTCCATTCTCTGCGGTATTTGGAGTCTGTAAAATAAACGCCATTTTCCGGGCGCATTATACAGACTTGATAATTTATTCAAGTGCTTTTAATTCATAGAAGTTTTAGTACATGACGTCATTTGAAACATTCTAGAAATTCTTTTAAAATTTTACTATTAATTTTTACTAAAATAACTAACTATAGTTAGTTATTTTATTTTCTAAAATCTTCACATTGAAAAAAACTTTATGTTTTTTTGTAGCCATCAGAGCCGTGGCTACATGGGCCATGGCGATGGTGAACCTAGGGACCCCTATAGCACCAAATCGAGTTATATAATATCTCCGATGATTCACGAGTGTGTTCTTTACATTTTGATGCAAGTTGTTTTGACAAATCTAACAAACAATTAATTAAACCAAGTACTAGGAAAAGATATAAAAAATAAGAATATACTAATAAAATATATAATTTGTAATTAACTTTCAAAATTTTGACAATTTAAAAAATATATATTATAAAACATTTAACATGTAAACAAGTGATAATAGTTTATAAGATTTACGGCTTTGCAGATGTGGCTCCAAGAATGAGCCATAGTATTGATAATATATTCTTAAGACAATTTATGTTAGAAATCTTAAAACATAACAAATCGTGAATAATACAAATTCTAAAACATTTCAATAGAATACTCTAAAAATTTATTTCGTTTAGTCAACGTATTTTTTGAACCAATAGAATTAGTTTGTTCGTTAATTTGGCGGGTTTTTAGTGTTTGTGAATATTCTTTTTATTCTTTCGCACCTAGATGTTTTGAGAACATTCAAGTTTTTTATGTTTCCATGTATGACCGTAAAACAAAAATTTTTTTTGTTTCGTACATAAACTTAAATATTTTCAAAACGGCTAAATAACCTGGCCAGTTTTTCGCAACTAAATATAATTTCCGTGGTCTTTGCAGATGTGGTTCCGAGAATGAGATATAATATTAAAGTAATAGTTCATCTG